GGAAAGAGGGAAAAAAATGGTATCTTGGGGAATATTCAGGTCTTTAGGGGCTACCAAATATCTCAAGAAAGAGGGCTGTGCCAGTAACTCTACACATCAGCACTGCTATTTCCTGGAAAATTCTGCAATAATGAAGTATTCTATTTTCAGTTTTAAAAAGTCTAAGTCTTCATCCACGTAAAAAAATAAGTAGAAAAAGAGCAGTCTTTTGACCAAAAAAGGTTAAACATAATTAAAAGCTACAGTTTGAAGAACTGTTTTTTTTTTCCTCTTCCTTTTATTTAGTTTTGAAAAATAATTCAGATGCCAAATGCCATTCCAAGTTTAATCCAGGGAAGATAAGCAGAAATATTAAGGCCCATAAAACAGCAGCTGATACTGAGAGCAACATCTCAAATGAGTGCAGTAATGCAGCTATGGTCAGTGTACTCTTTGGTTTCCTGAAGTGGCTTGTGTCAAACAAATTGTGGGGTTTCTAACTCTTCTTTTCAAACTGGAATATAGGGAAAAACTAGAGGAAAAGATTTTTGTAACTGTGTCCCACATTGTGATGATAAGTCACCTTTTGTCTCTAGTAAAATAAGTAACTTCAACTTTCAGACTACTCCACGCATTTTCAAAATGATAAAAATTCAGAAATGAATTTAACTGAGATGCAAGATAAAAACCATATAAAACCCAAACTCTTCTTTTTGTCCCTGTACAACACGTGCAGTTCAATTCATCTCTGAGTATACAACACTGCAGACAGAACATAAAATCTTTTTGTTAACATGCAACACAAAACAGACCTGTTAGACTGCAACATAAGATGAATCAAAGCAAAAGTTATGAAAATTATTAAAAGAAAAAGGGATAAAAATACATACACTTGGTATAGGCATGACCTGCATCTGGTCACCCTGGGGAAAAAGAAAAAAAATCACTGTAAGGGTAATGGCTTTTAAAGGGTCGAACAAAGGTCTGAAGCAGTCAATGTAGCACTCAAACATTTTAAACCAAAAGTTCAAAGTATTCAAGAAACCAGGGTAAAAAAAATAAAAACAAGATCTTGCATTTTAGTTGCTGAAATGATCGGTTAGTATATCGGCATTTATGATTTTTAGGAGACTGGACTGGTAAAACCCATGCTATGATTAATAAGAGATGGTAAGAAAGTACCTGTATTTACTGTAACTTTTTCAGCTTTAAGATCCACTAATGGGTATATTTGTCCATTTGCACTGCAGCAACAAGAGGCTCAGCCAGACCTTGGCAGCAGGGTAGAAGCCCACTCCTTGAAGTTAACTTCACTTGAGACAACTGCCTCAGAAAAACCAGCATTTTCACGTAGGCAACAGCAAAACGCCCAAGATGGACATGATGACGATAAACCAACCCAAGGAATCCCACTTTCTTCACCCAGATAGAGGCACCAGTATCACTGCTCTTCCCATCATCTCACTTTTGTATTGTACTTGGAAGAAGGCAAGACAGTCTTTGGCCAACTTGACCTTTTCTTCTCATCCTGGGACCCGATGCACGGAGGCAAAGACACTTCCATTTACAGCTTCTAAATGCAGACAGGCTGGTCACAGGGTCGCCAGCTCAATATGGAAGACATTCTGGGAAGTAGGAACTGTATTTTCTAATCTTTCTAATCTGTCAAAAACAAGTATCTGCTTTCTGGTGGGCACTGCACATAAAAAAAATAAAGGAAGCTGACCCTTCTAGAACAGATGTTGCTTAGGTATATTATTTTATTCTTTAATTACTTGGACAACACAGGCTCTGACTACTAGCAGACTGACTATTGAAAGAGCTGTTTTCAACATTAGAACATCCTCTTCCAGCTGAAAAAGTCTTGTGCTCACTTGTTTTGGAGTCTAACATAGTGTTGACACATCACTGACAAACAAAAGTAATTCAATATTATTTTTAAAGTCCTCTTTTTATTGCTACAACAGCAGAATTTTTTACTGAAGTTTGACCAAAATCCAGAGAAGCTGATGAAGCAGCTAGAGAGCAGCAACTACCATGAACTATCAAGAAGTTTGCTTTAGTTAAAAGTATCTGATTTCTATAAAAAAAAAAACAAACACAAAAACTGGTAAGAATCCAAATTTCCAAGATAATGACAAAAAGAAAAGAAAAAAAAAATTCAGCATGTTAATGTCCTGTTCGCTGAACATCATCTGAAGTTCATGGGCCATTTGAGAAAGGAGTGAATTTGAGTAGGTGCCAGTCAGATTAGCTGGCCTGTGATCAAGTTGTTAACAAGGATATGGTTACGGAGGCAGAGCACAGATTGTGAACCCGCGTTTTGTTTTGTTTTTAAAGGCATTTTTTACATTCATTGGTAGAGAGAAGAAAATACAACTGGAGCTCCTCTTCTGTCAACAGAAGAAAACAGTATACGAGAGGTAGAGGCATATCCACAGTTACGGTACAAGATTACCTTACTCTTGGACACAAATAAAGCTGTGTATCACATCGGGTTTTCCCACAGACTTCAAGAGGCACTCACCACGGCGTAACTTGCTTTCTGTTTTGGCAATCTCTTGAAGCAAGAGCTGCACTTCTCGGTATTACTGTTAAGCCTGACTTTCATGGCAATCCAGAACCTAAGTTGCTAAAGGACTTTCATTACTGTTTGCTTTATTTTTCTTGCAGAATTTCTTAAATCAGAAAACAAGGAAAACAAGTGAGTTTCCTAAGAAGAACCCTAAAAGCACCTATGCAAAAATCAAAATGGTAATGATGACAACTGGAAAAACAAGCAGAAAGATAAATGCAAGAGTCTGCAGGTAAAGCGTAAGTGTTCATGAACAGGCAAATGCTCTTTGAAAACAAGCCTGCTACGGGAAACTTTTAAAAAGTGTCCCACCTCATTTCCTGATGCCTTAGAACAGGAAGGGAAGCAGGTCGTAACGCTATCGTCTGAAATGGATGACAGATGACTGCATTTGTTGAAGTCTTTCCACAAGCTCCTGATGCTGGTAACAAGACAAAGCTGTTCCTAGAATGCCAAAATTTCCCCATTGTATCACTAAGATAATGCAGGAACTGATTTGTCCAGCCACTGAAATGAGGTTGTTTTTTTTTCTTTCATGGCATGACACATAGAGATGAAATGATAAATCCTACCTTTTCCCTTAGCTATGTAATTTTAGTCTGAGACACACAACATTTTCAGTACCGCATCCATTGATTAATGCTGTCTGTCTACGGTCACGTACGGGATCAATGAGCATCAAGTGACAGACCACACTATTTTACTTTTTTTGAGAACAGCCTGTATTCAAAGATAAGGAGCTATTTCATTTTAAAGAATAACCCCTTAAAAGAAGCAGCTGATCAAAAGAACAGATTTATCATATCCATTTCTTTAACACAAAGCTTATACTAGACCGTGATAGGTTCTTTAAAAACAGGAATATAGTAGCTATTTGACTCTTTCATTGACTTGGACTGTTGAGCTTTGTCTGTTAATATAGAAGACTTTTTGGGGAGGCAGAGAAGGTCAGAATGAGTAGCCAGAGACAGAGGAACCAAACATAGCTATGCAGAGGGTTTTGGGTTTTTTTCTTAAACAGACCTACCATACCGCATGCTGATGGTGACCAACACACACAAACACTAGGAATTTTCTTGCTCTGATCAGCAAAGGTGAAGCAGGAGGAAGTGTACTATTGCTTACATTAATCTCTCTTATCTTCCTCCACACTGGGGAGTGAGACTGGTTTCCATGACTGTTCGTAAAGCACGCTGTTAACAGACTCCCCATCAAAGAGTCCATGCTCATGTGGCTCCTCTAGGTCTCTCGCACGAAGGAGATACTACTTTTGACCTCAAGAACCTGCTCCCTATAAGCTGTTTTTCTCACTCTGGTGAACCATATTCATGTTGGATAGAGAAGATCCCTTCCCCTGCACTTTCATAAATAGGTCATCAAAACAGCCTTCCAGCATCACCTTGGAGAAGACAGCACTGTGCAGCAAAAAGCAGTGGGGAGAAGGAGACCTAATTTTTGTAGTGGTTAGGATGGGTGAGGTGGAAATTCAAGGACTTGACCTTTCTGGCTTCGTTCCTGTTACGGGGAAAGCAGCGGGGGCAGCTGCTGCCCCCAGAATAAACCTTGTTCTAATTCTGTCTTCTTCCCTGTTGAGTGTGGATCAAGGCCTTCTCCTCTAATCCAACAAGTATAAAAACCCTTTTCCTCATTCATGTTTCATCTTGCTGAACACGAGCCATCTGCCTGATTTGGATCCAACCGTGAAACAAAAGCAGAGATGACTCTAGTGGAAGTGGGTTGTAAGTGAAATGGCAAAGTGCCGACAGACTTGTCAGAGCTCTTTTACCCACCACGACTGAAGGCGAAGGGAAGAGAGAGCCATTTTGCATCTAGCTTTTCTTACCTTTCTCTATCTAGATACCTCCTTGAAGCCTGCAGATGAAATCTGTATCTGCAAACACTTCAAAACTCAGGTAACAAACTTAGCCGGGAAAAAAAAAAAGAACAAACCTCCAAACCAAAAACTTACACGGAGAAGCAAGCCCAGAAAATACACAAATTGAGTCAAGTTGCTAACTGAAGAACAGAAATTGAGATTTGAATTTATTCAGAAGAAAATAAAAACCACTTCCCAGCACTCTGGACCCTAAAAAAAAACTGGCTGGAAGGTCTTGGTGAGCTGCCTGCTGCTGAGGAGGCAGGAAAAAATTAGCAAGGATTTCATGAGGCTGAACATCGTGTGCTTCCAATGACACATCTGGCTCGGCATCCAAGCTGTAGACAGGCTGATATACCCACTGTAATAGATATTTTGTCTTCGAATACATTTTTGTGCTGCACTAAAAAGCTGTCACATTTTAAGAAAAACAAATATACAATAGTTTCAGTAAATACAAGTTATTATTGAAAAATGTTGTATTGAAACTTTAGAGAGAGAATGGATCATTCATTACCAGTATTAGAGTCACACTTGGACAAGCAGCTGCTCTGTGAGTAGAAGGTTAAAAAGTGAACTCAATACTTTAAAGAAGTTTTTGGGCTTTTTCCCCTAATGGAATAGAAGTCAGTGCTGAAAAACCCTGTTTATTGAAAACCATGTTTGGTGTTTCTTCCAATCCGATGAAGAAGTGACATGACACTTGACTTGCCAAGCATAATCGAGTCACATCGTTTGATAAAATACTAAATGAAGCACTGCTTTCATTTGAAGCACTGATTTCATTTTTTCTAATACAGTAAAATAATAATAATAATAAAATTACATCGCACAATGCAATTACTCTGAACAAAATTTCAGAACTGTGTTTTCAATTACATTATAAAATACTCTTCCCCACTTTCCCTCCGCTACAAGAAGTTAGCATCGAAAGAACCAAGACTCCTAATTAGAAGGAAGTTAGCTTGTCACATCAACTTCAAGAATACGCCAGAAGCAACACAGAACAAACACCGAGTTCCTGTGAAACCAGCAGCAGCTTTCTCTGTTCCTTTCCTTCCTCTGAAGTCTTTATCACCAGTTTTCATGTAACAACTCCACTGAACAGTAAAGACAGAAGGAAAGGACATCCAAGCCATTTTATACTAATTTCTAATAGTAACTATATAACATTATTGTGCCATTTTCTTTTTCCATTTTTGAAGGAAAGGGTCACAACACATGAACTGACTGGGCCATGGTCAGAGGTCACCTGTGATGTGATAAATAATTAACACAACATAGAAGAGAGAGAGCAGATACAAGTAAGCGACCATCTGAACAGCAGCTCAACAGAATTTAAACTACTCTTAACCTGTCAGGCGGATTAATGCAACAAGAACTTTAATTAAACCGAGGAGTTTAAGCAGCGTGTTGTCAGACTTTCTTTTCTTTCCTACAACAGGTAATTTTGTCATTCCTGGACATTTAATTTCACAAATTTAGAAACTGAGGCCCACTGTTGTATGTACTTTGCCCCAACTTACTTCTCACTTCTGAATCTAGACAAGATGCTCGGTGTAACTCGGTCAACTCCAACCAGCCTGCACAGTTCTAAAACACAGCTCTCCTGGGAAAAAGCACTAGCCTGACACTGTGATGATATTCAAATATATTGAGTCTTCAATACTGTTTTTCTTTCTTTAAGAGAATTTCCTACTTGCACTAACCATGTTAGCACTGAAAATAAAACCAGCATATAAAAACCACATACAAAGCTTATTAGTCTTCAATACTGCATTTAAAATAGGAATGTTATAGACTAATTTGCACTCACTTAAGAACTACCCAAAAGCTTAGCCATGCTTGAGTTCTTCTAGAGATCCGTATGCATCTGAGTGCATTTCATTCTGTTTGAAGAAAATGCACTCTTTAATAATTCTTCTTAACATATTCCTTGAACTCTTTTACTGAATTAAGCTGTAGTCTGGCAATGCTATGAATTCTGCAATTTGTGTCTCGGGCTCACGTACAAGTATGGCACAACTTCAGAACTGTTCACTAAGGTAGCACAGAGTGAGGATGGAAACTTGTGTGAACATACATGCAATCACTCGCTCAAGGCATACGATATATTTAGAAAGTAATTATTATTAATTTTACAAAATGCAATCTGAGAACTACTGACTCCAGGCCATTTTAACTCACATTTTCTATAGAAAAAACAAACTCTTTCTTCCCTTTACGTTTTTCTTTCTAATAAACTCTCATTTTCTCTCATTTGTAACTTTGCTGGTAGCCTCACCTCTGCCTCCTTTCCATTCCCTAGCATAGAGGAAAGGGAAATTTTACTGGTTTCCCATTCCTTTTGCTTTTCACATTAACGTGTGCATACATGCTACACACTGCTCAGCTTTCCCCTCAGCACATCCAGGCTAGATTTCCCTCATCTCAGTAAAAATGCCCCTTGGCTAGCAAAAGAAATCTAAAAATACACAGAGAATTCCTCCTTTTGGCAGAGGAATTTTCAGTGCACTTCACCTCTGCGTGAGCAGTTTCAGCATGAACTGCTGCAGTTCAGACTTTACCTCCACATGTATTCTTAGTCTCCATGACTTTTATTTGCTTTCCTTTCCTCTCTCCCACCAAACAGTTCCTCTGCTTTTTCTCCTGAGCTTTTCAGAATTCAAACATAACCAGCAAAATTCAAAACAAAATAAAATGGATTGGACAAGGCAGGCAGAAATCAGCTGCATCAAATATGAAAAATTAACGTGAAGAGCAGAAGGGTGAAAAGATGGAGACATCTCCATTTCTGCTATTATTCCCCATCATGGATACAACTGTATTTGCAATCTCTTTCTCACTGGAATAGTGTGAGGGGAACGGTGTTTCAATTAAGAGTATAGCACTAGTGGAGTTTTGAGAGTGCTGAAAAGCAACATGGTATGGAAGAGATGGTATTCCTACGGTTGCTATATTGAACTGAAATTCTGCCATTCATAACGCAAATGCTCTCGGTGTTATCAGATTTAAAAAAAAACCAACATATAATTTGTGTTGTGATTTTATGAATATGGCAAAGCAATATAATTACTAGAACTCAGTGAAAGTAACATGCTGCTCTTACATACAATGCTTTGAAGTGCTAAAAGTTTTTATCAATTAATTTGACTTATTAGGTAAACAAAAACTTAATAACCTGGAAAAATGGCCAAAAGCTGATACCTCTGGACTCAGCATGCATTAAATATAGGTGAACTGGTTAGAAAAAAGGTCCAAACAATTATGGTTTTCCCCTCTTTTGAACTGTTTTTATGCCACTAAAATCCCTTTCAACTGACATTCAAAGAGGTTCCACTGTGTTCCAGCGGACACATTTTAACCCTCCTGTAGTTGGGAAAGAGAACCAAAGCTGAACTTTTGTGAGAAGTCCACATTTTTCAGTGTCTTACTGAGGTTTTAAATGTTGTTTGCTTATAAAATGTATAATGCCAGTACCCTTCACAGAAAACTTAGTTTTAAATTGCAGCTGAATAGATAGTCTTAGCAATTCACCATCAAAACTGTAATTTTTTCTGTAACTCATAACAAGTTCCCCATGAGGGAAAGCTAGGAAGACAAACCTTCAGAACCTCGGAGTTAAACCTTGGTTACAAAAGACCCATATGATAGCAAAATAAGATAAAAGCCTGACCTTCTGAAGTCCTCCATTCTCCTCCACCAAAGGAGGAAGAGCACTGGTGCTATTGGTTGATGGTGGTTCGACATTGTAGTCACGAAAGCAGCAGAATAAGGTGCTAAAGATACTTCGACTCCTCTGCTTCTTCAAGCTGATATTACATTGGGACACTAGGGAAAAAAGAAAAAACAGCAGAAAAATAAATTCATGCAGCACAGACGTAGTTTTCCAGACCACAATGACTGAATTTAAGATGCATGGCTATTACCTCAGAAGTCCTTCTCAAGTCTTAAGATAACCTCACAGAGATCTTCCATCATATTTGAGACCCCCTTCCTTCCATTTCAACACCTTTTTTCCCTTGTCAAACTCACACAGTGACGTTAGCCTATTACCAACCAACCCGGACCTCTGCACAATCGAAGGTCTTGCCATAATAAGACATTGAAAGTTTTCCTAGAAATATCCGAAGTAGATACTATAAATTACATGAAATAACTTGCTGCTAAAATATGTCTCTGGACCGAGGAAGCAAACAGGACTGAGCTAAAACAGAAAAGACACAATAAATGCCTACTGATGCCCAGGCATATTTTCCAGCCAAATACACGATCATGCGTGGAACATTTAAACTCCTGCAAGGGTCAGAAAAAAAAAATCTGAGATGCTTCTGAGTTTCCTCTGCGACTGTTTGACAGCGTTGCTGGAGGAGAAAAGACACAACGCAGAGGCAGCACTGCTGCTGGGACAAGTCTGGAGAGGGTGTTACTGAACAAACAGGAGTCCCAGCCTTTCTTTTCAACTTGCTTACTGGTCTACCAGGATAAAAAAAAAAACCCTAAACTGGTAAAAAAATTACATACAGCTCACTGAAAGCAAGTGCAGCATTTTTGAAGACTAAAATCTGTAGATAAAAAGCAACAGTTTGGAGAAAAGAAATGCACATAAGACATCTAGTGATTTCCCTAAGATTCAAACTCCCGAAAATTAGATCTTGAACACACATTATAACAAAACAAAACAAAATAAAATGGAGTCGGAAAAAAGTTTTAAAATATTCTAAGTAGTACTCGATTTGACCACCAAATATTTTAATGATCTATTGTTAGCAAGAAGTATTTGCTTCCTCCGTCGGAGTGCCATACCGGACAGATTTCGCACTCCTCCAGGGCAGGGACACACACATGCACCCTTTTCATCTTGGGCCTTCCACGTAGCTCTTTCTCTTTGATGTTTATCTATACCACTGCAACATATGGTACTGAATGCTATCAATAATCAACTTGCTAACATCACATGGTAATACAATGAGAGACAACCGTGTCATGCACATCCTGTAAATAACTGCTTTACCACAACTATTCCTGGGAATACCGTGCAAAACCAAACACCATGCACCCTGTGCCAGAGGCAGGCACTCCCCTCTGCTGCACCGCCTTCCCTTAGCCAGCACCAGCTCACCCTCGCCATTCAGCAGAGGAATACCTGAGACCATAGAGATGAATGGCTTTCTTTTCAGAGTCAACAAATGATTTCATTTAAAATACACGCAAACAAGCCCGAACAAGTTATTTTTTTTATTCTTTTTTTCATAGCTATGCAGCAGCGCATCTTAAAGTAGCAAACATTAAAAGGAGGATTATACCGAGAACGAAGGATGCTATGGAAGTTGTACCACCAAGCAGATTAATAGCCATCCATGCACTATATAGTTTATTTACATTCTGCATTAGAAGGAACAGAACGGTCCCCCCACCCAAAGTTAGAGGGTAAGTGAAATTCTTAGTAAGTCCCATTACACACATCAATATATAATTCCCCATTTTTCCTCCTCTCAAATTACTAGGGACTGCCACATACATCTACCTTCCTCCTGATATTGCAAATATATCAATGCAATCAAGGCAACTGGCAACATAAATACAAATAATACATAGAATCATAGAATCGTTTAGGCTGGAAAAGACCTTTGAGATCACCGAGTCCAACCGTTAACCCAGCACTGCCAAGCCCACCACTAACCCATCTCCCTAAGCCCCACATCTCCCCGTCCTTTAAATCCCTCCAGGGATGGGGACTCAACCCCTTCCCTGGGCAGCCTGTGACAGTGCTTGACCACCCTTTCAGTGAAGAAGTTTTTCCCAATATCCAACCTAAACCTGCCCTGGCGCAGCTTGAGGCCGTTTCCTCTCGTCCTATCCCTTGTTACTGGGGAGAAGAGACTTGCGAGAAGAGCGTTGTATGAAATGGAACAAATCTCCTGGGGAAGAATTAAGGGATACCATGGTGCTCTGAAGTCAGAAGACGTGCAGGTACATAGAATCACAGAATGCTTTGGGATGGCAGGGCCCTCTACAGGCCATCCAGTCCATCCCCCCTGCCATGGGCAGGGACATCTACAACCAGATCAGGTTGCTCAGAGCCCCGTTCAGCCTGGCCTTGAATGTTTCCAGGGATGGGGCAGCTACCACCTCTCTGGGCAACCTGTGCCAGTGTTTCACCACCCTCATCATGAAAAACTTTCATGTGTGTGCTGTGACAAGAAAGCCTTGTGGTGCAAATTTTGACTGAACTTTCAAGTACTCTCTGAAAGTAGAAACAAAATCTTCCGATTCGAAGAGTCAGCATAAGCTAGACATTAATATTTTCTCCTCTCAAAGCACTTGCAAGGTGTCTAACAGGTCCAACAGTAATATACTGTTCTCCATATAGTATGCATTTCCATATTTGCTAAAATATTTTTCTGCCGTAAGGGAGTGAGCAATGCTCAGGTTCAGTTATTAATTGCTACCAAGAGAAAAGTGTACCAGTATCAAACACTAAATGGGTTTTATTAAAAAGTGCTCAGATAGCAGCACAAAGTCAGAATTGTGCAGATTTGCGTGTGTCTGTGTGTTTAAGGAAGTGTTTCATTACTTTAAAGACACTTGTAAACTGAAACCAATCTAATCACTGCTTTTCAATACTCCAGTTAAACAGAAAACATATGCAAAACTCTAGCCATTGGTGGTATACGTTACAGTAAAAGGCTCATTCTCAAAATATCACATTCTGTTTGCAAGAAATTTGCAGAAACATGCCTTTAGAAATCCCCAAAGGATGCCTAGGCAGCTATGAAGGACTTTGAAAACAGCACTCAAGAAAATTTGTATCGCAGGCACAAGCAAGTTTGTTGCAATACCATCCAGGCAAAGGAGAACTCCTTTCTGACCTTAAACGTTGAAACACGTCGAAATCCAAATTGGAGGCACAATGCTGTCTGTCCTGTTCCCTACAGCTAGTGCCACAGAAATCTTCTTAGTAGTCTGTATTTTGTTTTCAGGCTCTACTTAAAAATATGACAGCAAATAATGAAATTTGAGTGCTTAAAACAGAAATGCTCTTACACAGCATTTACCATAAGCTTTTGTTTTTTCCTGGACTTCGTAAGGTACAAGAACAAGATGTTAAACTTCATTCTGCAAACAATTTTTCTGCATAAAATAGTCCTCCCAAAGCCAAGACTGCATTTTATAATAAAGTCCAGTTTATATTCTAGGCTGGGATTGAGGTAGGTCTTCAACACATGATCCATTTCTAGAAAGTTAATAAAAAGCGAGAGTGTTAAACAAGAAAAACTAGTTAGCAAATGGTTGCATAAGAAATGTTGCAGAATACTTCTGAGCTTAGTCTTTGGGAGGTGACTGAATACAAACAGCTTGCAAGGCAAAAATTTACCTAAACCACGTCATGTTCATCCCCAAACCTCACAACGCTGAAGATCAGACCATGGACGGTCCGGACACGCAAGGAGCCATATTAATAGATTACGGGATGAAGTCTGAAGTTTTTAAGAGAAATTCTGCCCAGTAACAACTACAGCATTTAATGGAGAGGGGTGAAAGCAGGGATGCTGCACGGGCTACGAGGGCTACGGCTTCACGAAGACGTGCGTGGCCAAGATGCTTGAACCCCCCTTCTCTAGCGATTCCTCCGGGCTGTTTGCATCCTGCTGCTCTCACTGCTGGTTGTAGCAAGCCTTTCAATCAGGTATGAGTTACAGCAGCGTTTCTAAATTCATAACAGCCTCAGCTGCACAGCAGATCATCAGGAACAGCACAACCACTTACGAACTAATGTTTCTATCTTTTCTACACAGAGGACTGGAAGAGGCAGTGAACAGAGTAAATAGTCTAAATAAACATTACAAACATCTCAGACAACAGCTACTGATTTGTCCAAATCATTAAAAAATTCTTGTTTTCCTTGATCAAATTATACATTTCAAATGGCCACTCATGTTCGCTTAGTGAAATATCTGTTCTAGGAAAAATATTCCTTCATGTTGTTTTTAATCTCGGCAATTTTGCCATTCGTAATATAGTGGTGTTTCAAATAGGTCTTTCCACTAATTTAGGTATTATTTTAAAGCTATCTAGTTTTTTTAATGATGTTATAGAAGCTCTACTGTAAGTTAATGAACTATAATTTCGGATGCGGTAAGGAACAGAAGTTCTCAAGCAGCTTTACGTGCCTTGCAGTAATAACGCACAGAGGTTATCGCATACGTAGAAAAGATTTACGCCGTATCTCATTTTGAGCAACTATGACAGTGTTGTGCATCCCAGAAAATAGTTTCTCCTCCTCAGTTACGCTGGCCCAAATGCAACAGATGTGCTGCGTGCTAGATTTGCTTTTCTTGAAGCGCTGACAGTACATGCAGGTAACAACCGTAACGCTGAAGATGCAAAGAAGCATTAATATTGAATCACTACCATAAATTTAGGTATTCTGGATGCCAGCAAATTTCAAAGAGAAAAAAATCTGCAGAGGACAAAACTCAGCGTTCCTCAAAAGCCTATAGGTAAGACCAAGCAGTAGTGATGCTGGAGTGGTAAGCTGAATTACCCCAACTCCATGCCCGAGCAGCATCCAGCATATGGAATTTAGAGGACTTCTTTGTTTTTTCCCCTCCATCTTTTGGGAGTTACAACCTCGATTTCTGGAACTGATTTCCTACGTGTGCTTCCTACAGAAGCACTATACTCATCACCCCCGTCACCACTGAATGCTGAAGACAACTTTAAGTGACCTTTTACGATCTTAAACACTGCATACCAAACACTCAAACACCGTGTACCAAAAAAGCCCAGGCAAAATAACTTCACAATATGTAAGCATGTTGTCCGTG